TTATGATACCCACAGAGTAAACAAACTGAGGAGAATTTTACTTTCTCAGAACACATGGTATGAATTGAACACCATATATTGTATGAGACCTTTTCAATGTGCTATTTATAGCAAAAGCACTTTTCCTGCTCATTTATTTAAAGTTAAGTAGGCCGAACTTGTGCTAAATAAGCAATTAGAGCAGAGGTTTGGGGAATGGCAGGGGTTTTCTAAGGGCTTATTTGAATACATTAAAACATCAGTTAGCCAGTACTCAAGTACCTGGAACCACTGGGAAACCAGCTTTTTCCCCCCCCTTTAAAAGGTCAGAAATAGAAGAAAAAATCAAGGAGAGTCAAGGCCACCCAGAAGATCCAAAGTTCCATCCTCAGAAACTGCCTAATGGAAGACAAAAGGCAAACACTTTAAAAGGTTCCTCTGCAAATCTACATGTGTAAAACCCATCTAGTACGAGCCATAAAGCTGAGCAATTCACACCTTCTTAGAGAACTTGTAGGAACAAAGGTTTAAGTCCCACTCCTATGCCAATGGAAAAGTAGGAAACCAAATTGAACCAAGCCAGGGAAGAAACCCTTGCCATGAAATGATCTGATCTTAAGGGAATTCAGAAAAACTTGGCAGAAAAGTATCATTCAAGCGAATTTGACCTGAAGCACGTGATCAAGGAAATAAAGCCCCTTGCCTTCCCAGGGCTGCCAAAAAATGAGTTCAGTAGTTTTGTTTTGTTTTGTTTTGTTTTGCTTTTGTTTCTGTTTTTGTTTTGAAGGGAGGTGGGAAGCTCATTGAATAGTTTAGATCTAGATGAATTCCTCCTCTTATTGTCACTGGCTCTAGAGAAAATGGCCCTTTTTTTATCTTGTGTATTGCAACTCAGCATAAATGTCAGTAATTGTCACTTAATCAGGAAACCCACTTTTCAAACATGCCGAATCTTGCTGTATAATTACAATAAAGTTTCAAATTTGTCTCAGTGTCTGTTCAGATATTCTTTAGTGGCAGATTCTTTTTTTTTTAATGATGAGGCAAAGGAGATCTATTTTTCTTTTTGATAACCAATCCATTATATATCAGAATGATTTATTCCAAGGTAAAAAGGAGGCAGAATATAAGGACAGCATTAATTTTGGTGTTGTCTTATTGCAGTAGGATGCCAGTAAGCTCTTTGAAGGCAGGGACTGATCTGAATGTTTTCATAGTACCTAGGCCTCGAACAAATGCATGTCAAGATCATTGACAATTAGTACTTCTTGAATGGATGAATATTAAAAGCAAGTTTGGCTCATAGAAATGAAAATAAGAAAAGAATTATCCGAGGTCATGGCTCAAATCTTTTTATCATTCCTAAAACAGAAGAGCAAATGGCTGTCCCTGCCAGTGATTTCTACCCTGGAGAGGTAAACAAGCAAAAAATTTGTTAATCGAGCTATTTAAATACTATTAACCGTAGGATGATGGCATGAGATTTGTTTTCTATTTAATATGGTTGATCCAAAGCACAGGTTAATTGAGATTTTCTCTGTTAAAATTGGTTCTGAGCAAATTAGAATAAATGGAAAACATGCTAATTTCCTACTGAGACAACCCTCATTTTACCCATTTTACATATTCACTTAAAAACATAAATTTTCATTTATATCTTGCTTAATTTTGACTCTATGGCATAACTGTTCTTTTAGAAATTATAATTGCTATCATAACCATACATTTATATAGTGTTTAAAAGTTTGCAAAGTGCTTTACAAAGATTATTCATTTTATCTTCATAATAAGCTTTGGAGTTATTACTTGTATTATCCCCATTTTATGGATGAGGAAACGGAAGCAGAGAAAGGCTAACATGCTAAGTTAAACACAAAAGTGTCTGAGACAAGATTTGAACTCAGGTCTTCTTGAATCCCTATCCACTTGCTGCCTCTTATAAAATACGAGTATGCAATTTACAAAAGACACAGCCAGGAAGGCACAGACACATTGCATGGAAGTTAGGATTCAAAAAAGACTCATCAGGCTGGTCCATTGGGCTTAATTTAAGAAAATGAAGTTTGTTGAGGATAATGTCGAATCGTATTCAGATGCCCAAAATCACCATCACAAGTACAAAAGAGAGAAGAAAATAGTAGTTTGCCTAAAAATAAATCCTTAGAAGGGGAGAGGAGAGTGGGTGGGTCAACAGTGATGCTACAGATAAAGAATTTAATACAGTTGAGTAGCATCGAGAGTTAATGTCCAGGACAAGGCAGGTAATAGTCCCACTGTACTCTGGTCTCATATGACCGTATCTAGCGAATTATGGTTAGTAACTGGGCACCACATTTTAGAAGAGATAATCAGTATGCACAAAGAAATGAATAGTATGTGGAAAGTCCTCTACATCACAGCATATGAGCAGTGGAAGTATCTTGGTTTCTTTAGCCTGGAGGAAAGAGGATGGCGGGAAACACAGTAGTTGTCTTCAAATATTTCAGGAATTATTGTGTGGAAGAAGAATTTGATTTGTTCTACTTGACACCAGTGGCCAGAAGTAAGAGTAAAGGACAGAAATTGCAGATAAGGAGATTAGATTTGATGTAAGGGAAAAACAACAACTTCCTAATAATTAAATCTATCCTAAATGGAATGAATGTCTGGAGGAAATAGTGAGTTCTCCAGTCAAATTCAATTCAATGAGCATTTAGTGAATGTCTGTCCTGTTCAAGGCTCTGTGCTAAAATCTATTAGGAAAATCTGGACAACCACTCGTGCGTGTTGTTGTGGGGATTCATTTTCATCTGTGCATTACAGTAGATGGCCACTCAGGTTCGTTTCAACTATGATTCTGGAATTCATGGACAGCTATGATTACAACAGGGCATAGTTGAGAGAGAGGGGGTGGGGTTGAGATATATATATATATATATATATATATATATATATAGAGAGAGAGAGAGAGAGAGAGAGAGAGAGAGAGAGAGAGAGAGAGAGAGAGAGATAGTTGTAGATCTAGCTGCATCTATCTATCTTTCCATCTATCTTTTTTTTTTTTTTTAAGGGGAGAGACCTCCAATTGCATTGGTATGGCCAGTTTCCAGTCAAGAAACTCTCTTCACCAGTTCTAATTGAATTGTTTTCTGTAATGTGTGTAGTCTTAAAGTGTTGCCTGAAGCACTGAAAAATTAAATGAGTTGTCTAGAGTAGCCAGTATGTGCCAGTGGCAAGATTTGAACCTAGCATCTTCCTGATTCCAAGTCCATCTCTGTATCCACTAGGCCATGCTACCTTTTTGAGTTAATTTAATGGCAAAAATCATAAGACCTATTATCATCACAGGCTGTGAAATGCACACCTACCTTTATTTAATCAGGGGAAAATTCATTCTGAATAGCTTTTGTCTGGTACATATCGTGTGCTGATATATTGCTACCACAGAGAAACATTTGCATATTGTCACAAGCCAATAGCTAGCTATTGGCTTCTGACTAACCCATCAAAATAATGGTAGAGTGCAGGAAAGGACACTGAAGGAAAGGCAAATTGGAAAGTAAGGTCAAAGTAAAGCCAAAATGAAGAAAAATTTCTTTTTAGTAGAATAGGTAATTCCACTTTAGGAATGTACCACTAGTTGAAGGACACTAGCTGATACACTGAGGAGTTCCCAAAGTGTGACAAGGTAAAATACACATATTGAGTCCATGTTAAAAGTGACTTAGAACCATGATTTCTTCTTGTTGCTATGACCCTGTAGTTCTCACAAAGCTGGATCTCATCTTCCTAACAGCTGGGAATTCCTTTGTGATTTTAGTCCTTTCCCTCCCAAAAATTCTCCACCAAAAATCTCTCCTAGAAGTAATAGCTAACACTTCCCACAATCAAGGGAATAAAAATGTTTAATAGTGCCCAAATCAGAAATTTTGTAAAAAAAATCAGGATAAATATGTCTATCATTAAATTGTGTAAAATTTCAATGGTAAAACAAATCTTGTTTTAGTCTGTGGATTTACAGTGATTAAATACTTCACATCCAAAAAAAAAGGGGTACTATTGTGCTCTTCAGAGAAAATAGTAGTCTGGCTCTATAACCTATTGTGGAGAGTACCCTTCCCTCACCATCTGTTTCCAATGACTAGATGTTAAAATACATCATCTCATCAGGGTGGATGTTATTATCTTCTTTAAGCTACCCAGGAGTAACCTTTGGGTACATTGAGCTTCTTTCCTTCTTCTTTGGACTTCTTCTACATAAGATCATGAATTTATATTCAGAGTTTGGACAACTATTTATCTCTCACAATAACCTTTCTGTTATGTAGTTCATTTAGACCTATTCCAATAAGATACAAATCTCTTCTCTAGGACCACCTCAAAGACAGAGTTCCTCTTCCTTTTCAAATACCAGCCATCCAGCAAGAGATATAATGAAATAGAACATAAGGAAATAAAGTCATACCCATTTAATTTTACCTAGTACACTTTGATTTAGTCAGCTTTCTTTTATTTGTGTGTATGTGTGTGTGTGTGTGTGTGTGTGTGTGTGTGTGTGTGTGTGTGTGTGTAAAAGAGAGAGAGAGAGAGAGAGAGAGAGAGAGATTGTTACTATTCCAAAATTCCCATGTATTCCAATGGTCAACAGTGGAACATGAAAAATGTCTGTTTGTTTTATCTATCTATCTATCTATCTATCTATCTATCTATCTATCTATCTATGTAGATATAATATAGATATAGATAGATCTATAATTGATTTGTTTATTTTTAGTTTTCAACACTCACTTCCATAAGATTTAGAGTTTTAAATTTTCTCCCACTCCCTCTCATCCCCCCTCCCCAAGAAGGCATGCAATCTGATACAGGCTCTACTTATGCGTTCATATTAAACATATTGTCACATTAGTGTTGACGTAAAGAAGACTAGTATTTGTTTCTTTTCTACAGAGATAAGAAGAGGGATCTGACTAGCTGCACCATTTTTTTTCTCCTCTCTGATCCCACTTCTGTCCTTCTTTCCCTTTAAATGTATATTTCAGGGAGTAAGCACAAAACCATGCTGGAAGCCCGGAATGGGAGTGGGACTATTAAGGCGTTTCCTCGAGCAGGAGTGAAAGGCAAAGGGCCGATCAACAAGGGAAACACAGGCCTGCAAAACAAGACATTTCACTGTGAAATCTGTGATGTGCATGTAAATTCAGAGACACAACTTAAACAGGTGGGTGGCTCCAATCTGTGAGCAAGAGCCTTTGTTCTTCCCGTGTGGACTGGGAAAGCAGATTATTCCTTTGAACTCGAAGTGTTTATTGAAAATCTGCACGTGTGGAGCAGCCTGAATCTCTGAGAAAGAAATCAATGCCCTTCTGGGGCTGACAGATATCCAATCTGATGTGGAAAAGCCACTCTCTATGGTTGGGCTATTGGCCAGTAAACTTCTGAGGTTAGGTTTACTAGCCAACTAAATAAGATTTTATCTAAAGGGTAAATTTCCTAAGTGATTGTTAAATTCCTCCCTGTAAACCTGGGATACTGATCAATCAATCCATCAACTCTGCATCAAGCGCTATACTAACAACGTAGGGGACACAGTTAACTGAAGATGTTTGGTTTAAGGAGTTTACACTTGTAGTGACTATTTTTATGGCATTTTTTAAAAAACCACTAAATAAGAACAAAGAAATTTCTTTTAAGATATACAAGTGACATAACCTAAGAAAACAGCCTTGAGATTATAATTTATTCTGTACACCCATGATATAACCTGAGAGCACAGCATTCTAATTATAATCAATTTTGTAGGCTTCTGAACAATATTTTTTCTAAGAGCTCTTATTCACTGAAACCTTCTTTACCTTTCAGATTTATTAGGTTGATACTGGATTGTACAGACAGAGGTTTAAACAGTAATATGGAAATAAATTCGTCTCTGCCTGGCATATGGTTTCATTTACCCATAAAATTTCCCCAAGAATTTTCTTTCTTTTTCAAGGTACCTTCCATAAAAAAGAGATTTGTACCATAGAAAAATAACAGCAACATCTATTAATTTTTACAACAAATACTCAAATAAATATGACCCTTAAAAAGCACATGTGCTTTAATTCTTTTCCCTAGATCATATTTTGATGGGAGTGGGGGGAATTTAAGTGCATGCCTTTTGATTCTCTGATGTCTTAATAAAAAACTAAATCAAAATGCCAAATATTTTTAAGCATATACTATATGAAAGGGAATATGTTAGATATTGAGCACAGAAAAAGGAATAAAAGAAAGTCCCTCATCCAAGATCCCTACATTCAAATAATGAATATAAGTGAAATGCAAAGAAACTTTAATATTAATGAGAGGTAGGTGAAACAAATTGCAGAAGATTGTGGAAGGTGATGGGGAAATGAAGACGGCAAGGATTGACTATTCTTTCTAGAATGGTAAGGAGCTGAGAAGGCATTGGCTGGAGTTACTTGGAGATTAGTGTGAGATTGCTGGAAGATTTTATTTAAATTCAAGGGTGGAGGGCGATACATTATACCACGACTGACCATGGGGTCAAAATTGTGGAGGGAAAGAAGCAAGGCCAGAATAAGATAGATGGAGTGGAATTATAAAATTTGAGAAAATGAAGGTTACAAAGTGTGAACCTATTTGAGAAGATTGATTGAGTGAGAGAAAGGGAAGGTCAGGACATTACAATTAGAGAGAAGAAATTTCTGACATCAACATTTTGCAGCTCCAATAAATTTGGGTTAGAGAGGGACCTGTAGTAGTTGGAGCCAAGCAATACGGTAGAAAAGAGAGAACATAAATTTTAGATGTGTAAGACATGGGCTTGATCCTGGATTTGATAACTACAAGGATTAGGCACATCACTGCTCCTTTCCAGAGCTCAGTTTCCACATAATTAGGAGTCCTAAATAGAAAATGTCTGAATTCCCCTATGAACTCTTAAATCCTAGGAATGATGGTTCCATGAGTGGTATAGTTGAGAAGTTCAAGTAAATTTAATTAATATTAGAAGTTCAACACATATATTGAGAACTCCTAGGATAGAAGGCAACATTTTTGAGGATTCCTATTGTGAATTTTTAAGTTCCTTTCCTTTCCCTATATTTCATAGCACATCAGCAGTAGAAGGCACAAAGACAGAGCTGCTGGGAAACCCCCCAAACCTAAATACAGTCCCTATAATAAACTTCAAAAGGGAGCACATTCACTCGGGGTGAGTACAGTTTTCACTTCCCTTCAAATATGTTGAATTTGAAAATGATTTTCACTTCAAAATGAACTGATGAATCCTTGAGTGACAGTATTTGAGATGATGGTTGTATCCAGAAAGCATGCAAGTATTTGATCTATTCAATAAACAATTGAATCAACTCAATCCAGGGAAATTACCAGCATCTAAACTAATATTTTGCCATTGAATAGATGCAGCTGTTATCCCTCACATTGTTCATGTATCTTTTCGTTGAACTCCCTATTTGCTACTGAGTCTAGGAAGAAAAGAGAAAGCAACAAGGAGAGGGCAGTATGGTTCACTTACTGCATATTTCTGGTATTGATTTCAAAGGCAGAACTCTCTTGGAAACAAAGGGTACGAAAAGCAAAACACTTCTGTGGCTTCTTTTGAGGGACTAATGAATAATATAGACAAGTCGAAGTAAAGTGGGATGTTTTAAGCCTGAGTGGCTTGTGAGTATCAACCCAATCGGTGTTTTGATTTGGACCTATTTCTTTTTCCCTTTGCATTTTGGTGATCCTATAGAATTCTACCTTTCCATTTTGTGAGTTCCATCTCTGTAAAATGCTCCCCCCCTCCCCACTCACCCACCCACACATACGTACATAGATAGTTAAATATTGATATAGATTGATTGATTTGAGACCCCAAAGACAAATGAAACAAGAATAAACAGTAGTATAGAACTTTCCAAGGTGAAAAAGAGAAATTGGTTACCTATTTAGCATGTGTATGTATGTGTATATGTATATGTACATATACATTGATATTATACTTTATAATAATTTAAATGATTCACATTTTAATTATACATACATATATTAGGTAGATAAGCATCTACTTGTGATATTCATATAGATTAATTTATATTTTTAAATAGTTTTAAATTACATTTGGAAATTATCAGTATAATTATTAGTCTTAAAACCCCATTTTTCAAAGTCCTAGAGCATGAGGGGAGCTCTTTTCCTTGACATGGATTTATTCTCTCTTTCGTGACCTTGATCATTCCCCTCTCCATCTTCTCTGGGACCTTGTTCTATTAATCATTCTATCTTTATTTTCACTTTCTCCCTCTCTAATGGCTTCTTTCCCTCTGCCTACAAACTGATATGATTCTTCTGTTCAAATATGTCTGTATCTATCTGTCTGTCTATTTATTTACAGGGAAAGAGAGAGAGAGAGAACCCTTTCCTCAATCCCGATACCTCGTTGTGTCTTCATCCTATATTGTTCCTCACATTCATTGCTAATCCTCTAGAAAAAAAAAGTGATTTACCCTCAGTACTTCAACTTCCTCACCATCAGTTGATTCCTTAATGTTCTGCAATCCTCGCCATTCTCCAGAAACTTTTTTTCAGTTATCAGTATCTAGTTTCTGTCCTTTCCCTCATCACATTCTCCCTTACATTTTATGTATTTGGCTTTATAGCTTATTCTCAAATTAGATTCTAAGCTGTGTGTGGCCCGTGCTCTACCTTTCATCTTTGCCTTTTTGGTGCATAGCATTGTGCCTTGTCCCTAGCGGATACTTAAGAAAGGTTGAATCTCTTAAATTGAACTTGCAGTCTTCCATGATAAATCCTCAGAGCAGGTCAAAACAAGTCCTTTCATAGCATAACTCTTTAATTATACAAGTGAAATGTCTTTTTTTAGCTTAGAAATAATGTTAACTACAGCATAAGATTAGAAATGCTTATCTGGGTTGCTGCTGATTTCATCATCTTATTAAGTAACCTTGACTTTATCTACCTCTATAGTTAGCCAAAGTAAATATTTACTAAAGGTGAAGGGTTAGGTTTTTAAAGTGTTCGGATTAATTTCAAACACTTAAAAAATCTCGCTCTTAAAAAAAATTTACTATCTATAACTGGAAATCATCCTCAGAGCTGCCATTCTACCGATGCTTCTGGCAGGAGATCCAGGCTAGTGATTTAGATTGAAGTTGAGAGAACACAGCTTTTTTTTGAAATGATGAGGAAACAAAAAATGTTTAACTTGTTAGAGGCAAGATCTTTCATTTGAAGAATAGCTTTTGTTTTTCTCAAGTTTTTCCATGTGCTCAAATGAGAGTGACATTCTCTGTGGCCCAGTTGACAGGATTGCATTGTCAGATGACAGCTGCCTGTCTGAGGGATGATGAATCTCTCTCCCTTTCTCTCATTTTATTTTGTTTGTTCTGAATCTCTCTGGGTAATTTGCTTAAATTGTACTCCTCACAGAGATTTGATGTGCCTATCACTGTCTCTTTTACATTTCCTATCACTCGCAGTCCTATGAGGATCATAGCTTTGGAATTTGAAGGGACCTCAGAAACCATCTAGTCTAAACCCACTTCTTGCAGGCAAAGAAAATGAGGCCCCAGAAGAGGAACTGACTGGATCACAGGCACAAAGCTTTGGAATTGGAAAGAGTCGCTGAGGTTATCTTGTCCAAACCCCTCATTTTATAAAACCGAGATTCAGGAATGTTGTTAGGAGTACATGCATTTGAAGTTGCAGGGCTTTCACAGACCATCTAAGCCAGCTCTTAAGTTTTACAGATAAGGAAAATGAGACCCAGAGAGACCAAATAACTTGTTTAAGATCAGACAGATAGCCCACAGCAAAGCCAAGATTCTGTGACTCCACAGTGATGTCACTCACTCCACAGTCAACACTGCCAAGTTTGGCAAACTCTCTACTGTTCATTTGTTAACCAGTTACTGTCTTTGGCAAATGGAAGGTTGGCAGGTTATGTTTCTCATCAGAATGCTCTAGCATGAATGGATCAATGGCTGGGGGAGGCATTTATTAAGTGCTAACAATGTGCCTAGCACTAAGCTAAGTGCTGGGGATACAAATAAGGGAAGTAACACAGTCCCTCACCTCAAAGAGCTTAAGTCCTCATAGAAGACACCAACACATAAACACACATATAGTTTCTCTTAATAGATTAGTCAAACTGTCAGCCAGATTTTCCTTTGAAAAGATATTTGAAATCCTATAGTTCTTTGCATGTGTATATTTGAAGCATAAATTTGGCTTTCTCATGAATGGTCCTTCTCAATTCTAAAGCTATCTAATATGGAGCCAACTGGGAAAGAACATGTCCCCAAATTCTGTTCTCTTTCTCTCCCTCCTTCTTTTCCCTCTCCATTACAGGTAAAATTAGTATTTTCTAAGGAACCTTCCAAGCCATTGGCTCCACGGATCCTCCCGAACCCATTGGCAGCTGCAGCAGCTGCAGCTGCTGTGGCAGTGAATTCACCCTTCAGTCTTCGAACAGCTCCGGCAGCCACCCTCTTCCAGCCATCTGCACTTCCTCCAGCACTCCTCCGGCCTGCTCCGGGGCCCATACGGACCACCCATACTCCTGTGCTGTTTGCTCCTTACTGAACTCCAAATAGGAGTAATTGTACTGCAATAATTTTTTTTTCAAAAAACAAAGAAAACAAACAAAAAAAAACAAACTATGCAGTGTTTATTTATAGTTTAAAGTCTATCTGAAGAGCCAGGACTTTTGATAGTGAATTGAAAAGAGTCTAAAAGGGGATGGGAGGGAGGGGAAGGGGGCAGCATTTTCTCCACATAAGAGCATTCCTCTTGAATATTGACTGTTTTAGAAGTGATCTCCAGCATTGACTCATAGTGATATCTAGAACTTACAAAACCTTTGTGACCATGCTTTTGGGCACCTACTTCCCCTGCATTGTCTTTCCTGCTTTATGAAACAACTATACATTTGTCTAAGGGCATTAACTGGTTCCAATGTATATTCAGTACTTTATTCTGTAGATTAACAAGAAGAAGAAGAATGAGAAGCAGCAGCAACACTGTGAATAGTAGACCCCTTACTGATCCTCCTGCCATGTCAGCAGTTACTGGGTATTTATCAGAACAAAATTAGATGCAGTAGTTGTCTTGTAAAACAGTAGCCATGTTGCAATTTAACATCTTTAGGGTTATCATTGAATCACAAAAGGTAGGATAACCAGCCAGATCCTGTAAGTAGCCAAAACAATGGACACCAATGATACTGTTGGGGAGGTCTTCTGAGTCGAATCAATAATCTTTTTTTCTCCTACTCAACTCTGAGACAAATGAATGCAGTGTTCAGAGATGTTATATAGTGGAGTCATGCTTTGCGATAACCCTTCCCCCTAAAAAAAAATCAGAAAAAAGAAAAGTGATTTGTTGCAATGTTCTGAGTACCCAGAAACAACAAATATCCATGTTTGAAGATATGGATGGGTAAGCACTGGGGGAAATTACGTGCCATGGGTATAGAGAAATTAAATAATGCAGGTAGCCGACCTGCTCAGTTTCTGTGAGCTAGGGATGGCCATAACCTTGAGCTATAGTGTCAAGATAAGTGCTGAGTAGGAAATCCATGGTCATCCCTACCTCATAAAAAAAGGGAACATATTATACCTCTGCAACACACCCCCTTTATGTCATGCCAGTGGTACTGTCTGGAGGTAGAATGCTTTCATTTGGAGTACAATGGTACTTATAAGCTTAATTGTTTATTTTTTAGATCTCCTACTGACATGATATAAATGTTTACTATATATGTAAAGGTTAGTAGCAACAAGGGAAAAAAATGCAGATGAGTTAACTGCGCACCGTGGATATGGAGTAGAGAAAAATACCTGGAAGGTCTTATTGTACCTTCATTTCTATCATGGACTTCTGCACATTGGAAGCTTTATGTGATCAATGTAAGGCTTTGAAAGGTTGAGAGTGTCCCTTTAAAATAAGATTTATCAGGGGTATATATAACTATATATATATTATATATATTGTATATATGTTAGAAAGAGTAAGAAAATAACTTATAAACAGAAAAATCTACTATATGAAATAAATATATAACCATCCAACTTCACACTTTATCATCAAAGTGGTAAATAGTAAACGGCATCAGATATAGCTATGCCTTTGATTTGTGATCAACATGATTGGCTTTTGCCCTCAGAGAGCTAAAAGGCATCTTATCCACCTGGCAAAGGAGGATGCAGCTGCATCACTCCGTAGCTGAGAGACATGCTGCTCTTACACTTAGAACAAGAATAAAAACCACAACTTAGGTTTAGGGAAAAAAAATATTTTTGAAAAGTTTTTGTAAAGGCTATTTAATGAGGAAGGGACAGGAAGGCGCATATATTACCTTCTTGAAATTACTTTTAGTAACAAATAAAAATAAAATAAAGGAAATTAGCAGCAATTTGAGAGATGTTAAGAATTCACGATAAAATAATACTTTTGAACTGTGGATGTTTCATGTTTTACTGTTGCCATATTTAAAAACACGCACTACAAGTTCAGTGCTCTGAGTTGAGCATGTTTTTGAGCTTTCTTATCCACAATCTAGCCATAGTCCGTGGTGCTCATCTCTTTTAAAATTGTGTGCTTAAATATATACATATATATGTGTGTGTGTATATACATATACATATATATATGTATGTATGTATGTATGTTTGTATATATACATATATATTTTTAAGCAAAAGGAGAAAAATGTGTTTTGTGTATTTTGTGGGGCAAGGAAATCAGAAGATTCACATGGGTATTTATTTAAATTATCTCCTCAAATTGCTATTTTGACCATTGTTTCTTTTAAACTTCCCAATATCTGTATCCTTTGGTCTCAGTGGTTTGCCCCACTTTTACCTACAATCAAATTTGTGGTCTGTCTGTTTAGCCAATTGAGGGGAAGCTCAGAGTGTTTTGGGAGCCCTCTGCATGGGTAATACCATTTGACCTTACAGAGGAAGATGATCCATTGGCAGCCCATAGAATGACCAGATGTGGCTGAACAGGTTCTTTGGAGTCCTGACTTTGGTTCAATGTTTCCATTATGCAACATACTTTGGTTTTCACAGCAGTCAACCAATGTCATAATCTGAAAAAAAAATACAAGGAGGAAATAAAACAAAACTAAACACCTTCTATGAATTGAAGATGGAATATCAATAGCTGGTATATAACAACATGCCAAGTATTTTTCCACAATTCTTCAGTTTCACAGGAGTTGACACTTCTGTATCCTTAGGAAGCAAGGCTGGGGTTATGTGGGTTATTCTAGAGACATAAGGGAGGGTTAATTTAAAGAAGGCTGAAAGCAAACAGTATCACGTGCAAACCCGTGCAAATTCTATGCGGTGTCTGAATCTCTTTTGCCACCATGCTCTGTGGAACAGTTTTGGTTCAAATGGCCGCCCTTAAATTTGACCTGTAAGCATCGATTGTCTCTTACTACCTAATAAAGGATGAAGCCTAATCATTAGGTCTTACAGTGGATTTTCTATGATTTTATTTTTATTTTTCTTTACCCAGTGCATAAATACTTGACAGTAATAAGCAACCATTCAAATCCAGACTCCTAGAATGGTCTATCTTGTCCCTTATGGAATACTGTTTCAGAAGTGAAGATGAATAGTTTGGCTGTGTCAGCAATGGAGCTCCACACTTCCATTGAATTATCCTGAAGCTTCAGATCTGATTCCTGCCCTATGGCAGGAGAAAAAAAAATGAGTAGGAAGAGCATCTCTGATTTCATTTCAAATGAACATAAGTGTACAACAAGAGCCAGAAGTCTTTGGGAGAGGAGGGATTTTTATTTGTATTTTTTACTACATTTAGACTAAATCAGTGGTAAACAGTTTCTGGGAGGGATGGTACTAGATTTATTTTGCATAGAAATAAATGTTGAAATATGACCAATTGTTTCTCAGACTGGCATGAAACTTTTTACTTGTAACTTTTTTGCTCATAGAAGAAATTACTGTGTAATATTGATGACTTAACCTTCTACTAGGACAAGCAACAGCTTTCTTGAAAGATCACTAACTCTACGGGTCATTGGACTTTCAGATATTGTTTGCCTTTATGTAGCACTACTTTTAGCAAAGATGTGTTCTAGTTTCAAGAAAAAGTCTACGTAAGTTGTTCCTTAGGAATTATTTAAAAGTAGAAGCATCATCATGCAATGGAAAGGGCCATATATCCAGAATCTGAGGATCTGAGTTCAAGCCAGATGACCTTGAATTTTCCTTCTAGCCATAAATCCCTAAGCGTCTTGAGAGATATTTTAAAATTAGTGTAAAGAAAAGGTCCAGTGAGACTTAAGTACTCCATTATCTCAATGGATCCAAGATCCCATTGAAAGGAGTGTTCCTTCAAGTGATCAGCATTGCAGCATATCCATATCTCAGCATGCTACACAACTCTTAATATTTCAATGATCTGACTAATAAGTGAAAGAGACTTACTTGATATAAACAGAATAGCTGAAAATATAATAGTGCTAATCAGTGGATTCCAAACACAGCACCAATATATGACAAAGGAGGCAATAAATGTCAGGATCAGCTCCCAATCGATCTTTAAAAAGAAACACCTTTGTGGCCCTGTATATACCTAGATGGCTCAGTGGATAGAATGCTGGATCTGGAGTCAGGAAGACCTGAGCTCAAATTCACCCTCAGACACTTAGTAACAGTGTGACCCTGGGTGAGTCACTTAACCTCAGTCTGCCTTAATATATTGGAGGAGGAAATTGCAAACACTCCACTGTCTTTGCTAAGAAAAACCCATAGATGTTGCTGGTGTGCTATAGTCCATGGGGTCACCAAGAGTCAGACATGACTTAATGACTGAATAACCACAACTTGTGTAGAATTTCAATTTTACCAGATAGACCATAAAGCTGAAAGAAAACTCACATGGTCACCTATTACAGGCTACTGGCTTTAATGAAGACTAACACCAAGAAATTGTTTAACACAGGACATAAAGTGGATGGCTTTCTCTTGTGAAAACTCCCTGTAGTAGTTGTATAGAAATCTACACTTACCGTCATTATGGCATGGTAGAAAGAATATGAATAGTCTAATTGAGGCAGGAGAACTGGGCTGTAGTCTGACACAAGAATTCAGTTGTTATCTGGGGCAACACAGGGCCTCAGTTTCCTCATCTGTTAAATAAGATTAGAGTAGATGATCACTAAGGTTCATTCTAGCTCTATGATACATTACCACTTAAAAGAGGAGAGAAACTGCACCCTTGTCTTTTCTTACCCTGCAAAGTATATCTATGTGTGGCTTTGCGAGGCTCAGTTTAAGTGCTCTAAAAAATGGATCCGGTTATATGACATTCTCCTATTGTAGATCACCGACTTGTCTTCTCTGAGACGGTAGGAACACCAATGAACAGAAGGAGGTTGTATTCTGTTTAATTTCTGAGTTGAAATAATTCTGGCCACGTGGCTTTGCCACATTTATTCTAGCATGCATCATTTCAGAGGCTGAGTAAATCAATGAGAGAGAGAGAGAGAGAGAGAGAGAGAGAGAGAGAGAGAGAGAGAGAGAGAGAGAGAGAGAGAGAGAGAGAGAAAGATGAAGATGGGGAATAGGTTTTAGAATTTCTCCTCTTTGTTTCTGTTCAGTAATTAGTGAGCATTTATTAAGTGCCTACTATGTGCTATACATTCTGCTAAGCACAGGGGATACAAAAAGAGGCAAAAATCAGTCCCTGAACTCAAGAAGCTTACAGTCTAATGGGGTGATCTAATGTTTACTCTTCAAACACTAGGCCTCTTCTAGAGGAACTCTCCATGAGTAATTGTGTATTCTGTCTTTGGTGATCTCCATTATGTTTTAGTCTTTGTGTGTAGCTCTTTGTGTTATCACTGCTGTTAATTCATTACTATGAAATCAAGGTATTAAGGAGCCATGCCATTCGTCTTCAATGCATATTCAATATGCATCATGTCCTGAGAGTGAATTTTATATACCTTCCCTTTCCCTTTTTTTTTTTTCTGGCTAGGCAATGGGGTTAGGTGACTTGCCCACAGTCACACATGTGTCTGAGGCTGGATTTGAACTCTGGTCCTCCTGAATCCAGGGCCACTGCTCTATCTACTGTACCACTAGCTGTCCCCTCCCTTTATTTTTGGTTTTAATACAGGATTTTCATTCTCTGGAGCCTCTCACCTGGTCTTTTTGCTATCTGCTTACAGAACTAGCAAAGAAACTTATGGATAGTTGAATGAACCCTTAATGGACAGCTCCTACCAGTAAACTAGCAGTGGGAGGAATCCTATGGTTTCCAATTATATTGGCGTTTGCTGGCTGTCAGTTCCAAGTTTTCTTCTAAAGTTGATTGTCCAAGGAATTTGTCATCTAGAATAATGAGTTATGACAGAAAAAGCAGGTGCCTCAGCTCTATATATTTTCGGTTTTTAAGTACTTCCAAGTTTATTAAATGCAATGGAGTTTTATGGATAGTCTGTGATATGGGCTGTCAAAATCTGGCTTCAAAAGACTGTATCCAACTAGAAGAGGTCAAAAGACTGACATTCTGCTGAGCCCCTGGTAGTCTTTGGAATCTCAGATATCACAAATTTTCATTCTTTAAAATTCACTTTTCACAAGAGAAATCAAGGGTGGCCGCCAACATGTTGAGACAACATCTTGTGCTAAATTGAAGAGAGGACATTTACAGGATTACCTTTAATGAGAATCAATGGAGGAAGTGCTCACTTTGACCAAAAAAAAATTACAAATCCATTAGACTATTTTGAGTAGTTAATAAGCATGTACTAATCACCTTCTAGGGCTAGGCACTGTGCTGTGTTCTAGGGATAGAAAGAAAGGCAAAGAGCCCATATTGTCAAGGAGCTCGCTGTCTAGTGAAGGAGCCAACATGCCAACAATTATGTAGAAATAAGTCATATCCAGCATACATTAGAAATAATCACCAGAGGGAAGACACAAGGATTGGAGAAGCATCAGAAAATATTTCTTCTAGAAAATGGGATTTTAGCTAGGAATTGAAGGAAGCCAAGGCAGCCAGGAAACAAGCAGAGATGATGAGGAAGAGCATGAGAGACAGCCAGGGAAAATGGCAAGAGCTGGGAGATGTCGTATTGTAGTTGGAGCTGAACTAATACCAGGTCAGATTTTAGTTATATCTAAGAGTGGCAGATAAATTAGGTGATCAAGAAAGACAGTGCTATCCAGGAAGGGAATAGGAGCTAGGGCTGTGATTTCCCTGGTCTAGGGTACTAACTCCTTGGTGAAAAAATTCTCTCTGCCAGAGGATTCAATAACTTCTCTATGACTTAAAGTCTTAGAGAGTTGTCTAGACCGCTGAAAGATGAACTGAATTGCCTAGAGTCACAGCTGGAATGGGTCCTAAGCAGAATTCATCCCCAGGATTTCTTGGCTTTGAGCCTGGCTCTATCCACTTTACCATATTGCTGCTTTAGTACCATTTGGGGTTAAAAAATGTGACTGAAGCAATAATATTTTCTGAAGTGACTCATATGCTCATTCTGATGACCAAAGATGGTTGCTTCAATGGCAGTATCTTCTAAATAAGCATAGAGCTTCCCATAACTGCTTTGATGAACATTCAATAGCAATCAGTAAATATTTCTTAGCTCATTCCATTGTGCCAGGCACTCTGATATTGCTGTTGTTGTAATTGTCCAGTTGTTTCACTGGTGTCTGACTCTTCATGATCCTATTTGGGGTTTTCTTGGCAAAGATAGTGGAATGGTTTCTCATTTCCTTCTCCGGCTATTTTAAAGATGAGGAAACTAAGGCAGAGTTAAATGCCTTGCCCAGAGTCACAATCTAGGAAGTGTCTGAGGCTGAATTTGAACTCAGATCTTCCTGACTGATGTTCTATTCACTGTGCCACCTAGCCAATGAAAGGAAATTTCATTAGAAATATGCTTGATATGTTGATTGACAATACTTTTCCTCCCTTTATACTGACAAGTATTCCTTTTGCCATCCATCACTAACTCAGCTTTTCATGAGATTAGGGCTGATGGTTCTTCCACTTGGATGTTCTCTCTCCAGTTCCATTAGCTAAGAGTCTTATGCAGGTTATTTGGCTAGAGGGTATGGTGACTGGGCGCTCTGTCCAATATCTTGGCACTTTGAAACAATTCCATTTGGAGAAGTTGAGCTTCTGGTGGTGATTTCCCTTTCCTACTTCCATGTCTGTTAGTAGCAGGGACTACATGCAATATTTTGCATAATGAAAGCCACCAAGATAATGGATATGGAAGAGAGATGATATCTCTAAAGTCCTATTAGACCTTCCTTCAAATATGCCATAGAATTTTGCAGAACTATGTGCTTCAATGAAAAGTGACTCCAGGGTTCAAAGATTGTACCTCATCAATGCTCAATGAATAATTATCAAATTAGTTTGCATATTTTCCATTCAGTATGGGGTGAGCATGCCTGTCTTGCTGTGACTCCAAACTTTTGTTAGAATGATGGAATAACTTTTCCCACCCAGCTTCTGAGTTTATCTTATCATGGGCATCTTCGTTTTAAGGAAAGGTACATCATTAAAGAGCTTTTTAGGTTTGGGGGATGACAATTTTTATCACCAAATTAAAGTGGATCACGTTGTTGAACCTACAAAAAGCAACAGTCAAACGGAACAAGACTGAGGAGGTTGAATGGAAGTAATAAAAAGCGAGAGGCAGTTAAGTGGCATGATGGATAGAGCACAGGCCCTGGAGTCAGGTGGACTTAATCTTCCTGAGTTCGAATCTGGATTCAGTCACTTACTGGCTGTGTGATCCTGGGCAAGTCACTTCATGCTGTTTGCCTTAGTTTCCTCATCTATAAAATGAGCTGGAGAAGGAAATGGCAAACCACT